GGGGGGGGGGGGGGTGTAAAAAAAAAAGGGTTTTTCCCCCCCCCCCCCCCCCCCCCGCGGCCCCAGGGCCCGCCTTGGCAGTTACAACAACTTCTACCCACACACCGGCACTTCTTACCCCGACAATTTCGTCCCAAGCTTCCCTTCCTCCGATTGGGGGGGACGGGAAAAAAAAACATTTACAAAAAAAAAAAAGGGAGTTCGGTTTACAGCATACATATCCCTGGAGCGCTCCGAGGTTGGAACCCAGCACCTCCGGGTATTCTTCGCCCAGGTATTCGTACAGCACCACGCCAAGGTGGGACATCAAGACCTCCTCCCCACACGTTTTCTTCACCACCGGGATGCGACCGATCAGTTCGGACGCCTGCATGCGGCCTTTAGCGCTTTTGTTGTTGAGGCGCCACTTTGGTAGTCGCAGTTGGGGGTGTTTTGATGGGGGGGGGGGCAAAGTGGTACGTTCATGCGTTGTGGTGTGTTGTTGTGGGTGGGTGGAGAGGGGTGGGGGGAAAGCGTTACGTGCTTGCGTTGTCCAGGTCAACGCGTCGCGATGGGGGCGAAATGGAGACGTGATAAAGGAGGTAGGGATGGGGTGCCTGTGGGGGGGTGGGGGTTCCGATGACTCGCCGGCTTGGAGCAAGCGGAGGGGGTGGGTGGGTGGTGCAGTTCGTTCGCGTCCGTCTCGGTAACGTACGACGGGAGGCGGTACGCAACGCTATCAAGCATTCGTCCGGCGACGGCGGCGGCGGCAGCGGCGACACCAACAACAGCATCCATCGCCATCATCTTTCATGAACATCATCTTTGCCATCAACACCACCGGCTTCCATCACTATCATCTTCATCAACACCACCACCACCAACAACAACAACAACAACAACTTCCATCACCATCACCATCACCATCAGCTCCATCAACATCATCATCGCCATCAACAGCACGAGCACCAGATCACCATCAACATCACCAACAGCAACATCGAGACATGAAAACAGCGCACCTTGACGGTCCCCGAAATCTGCGGCAGGTAAGACTTGGCACGGAGCCCCAGGGCGTTTACGACCGTCCCGAATCCGTTGAGCATCGTGTACGTCTCCGATTCCGTCTGCAGATATGGTCAGTCCAGTTTTGTGCACATGAGCAAAGAAGCAAGAACAACGCCCACTGTTTAATTCCGTCGACAAGAGGCATGGGTCGCGGGATCTCGCGTGCTTGACACGTGCCTTTACACATACGTTGATTCCGCCCCATATTGAGCTGTTCAATGCGGCATTGATCATGAACACAGCTGGTCTTCCACGAAATATACAAGTTAGTTCAGATAATTTCAAGCCGTCATGCGTCGTCGAAACAATCGCAGGACGGAAAACGTCAACAGCAAAAAAAGAGATCACAAATTGTATGCTACACCCCATACCGCAAAACGTTTCACTTCTGCTAGCGTCCCACGGTGCTCACCAGCTCCTACTGCATGCAATACCATTGTACCACATCCATACGCTGGCGATAATTTAGCATCTTACCTCACGCCCCCCTTACCACCACCGCGACCCGATCCGTCCCGCACCACATGCACAACCATCCCGTACCACGAGACGTGCAGACTGCTCCTGGAAGGTGAAGAGAATTGCCGTCCACCAGCAACCCCTCCTTACGTCACACCACCCCGTACCACCACTGTGCGACCCGATCCGTCCCGTACATGTACAACCAACCATCCCGTATACACCACGAGAAACTCTCTCACCCGTTCCTGGAAGGCGAAGAGAATGCCGTCGATCAGCAACTCCTCCTTATCTCACACCACCCTGCACCACCACGGTGCGACCCCATCCCGTACCACCACCGATCCGTCTCGTGCCATAAACAACCAACCATCCCGTATACACCACGAGACAGCAGAGTCTCTCTTACCTGCTCCTGGAAGGCGAAGAGAATGCCGTCGATGAGCTGCTCCTCCAGCCGCGTGTCCACGTCCGCCGCACCCAGGTTCTGTATGACCTGCTCTATGGTCTCCATGACCATGCGGCGGTAGGGCTCGTTGTCGTCCTTGAGGCCCTCCACGATGCGGCTCAGCACCTCCGAGACGCCCACCTTGTTCGCGATCTCCACGGTTGTTTCCACCACCTGGTTATGGTGGTGGTCATTTTTTTATTATGTTGGTGGCAACGATACCATGATCGAGGTTTTTGTTTATCGACCATTTATCCCGTTAACTACGGAGTGGAGTTGTGGTTTCAATACATTGGAAACCGAGTCTGCTACAATGTAGTGCTGCTGTGACTTCCACGTCACTTTGAACGAATGAACGGAGAGAGTTGGTACTTGGTCGAAAGGAGTTGTGATCACGTTATCACCACGTGATGTGATACTGATGGTGTCCACGTTCACGATGCGGAGTGCCATTTTATTTGATACTCGAGCCTACGGCAAGTTTCGCTTGGATGAACGGAAGCTCACTTGTTCCTAAGATAAGAAAGAGTCCTCCTCTTCATGACTGTGTCGTACCATACAGTACTACTCCTATGCTTTAAACCCTTCATCGGAGACTAAGTGAAGTGAGCGAGAGTTTGCTTTGCCTTTCTTCGACCGCAACCATGAGCGTGAATCCATTTGATCGGTCCAACACCAACACCAACACCAACACCAACACAACAACGACAGCAGTAACCTTACCTGCTTGTGGTTCCGCCTGTCGAGCGCCATTCGGCGGACCCAGAAGGCCCGGAAATACTCCGGCAGGATCTCCTCCTTCACGTACGCCGCGTCCACTCCGTCCGTGCCCACGCACTGCTTCACCACCTTCAGCACGATCTTCTTCATCTCCTCGTCGGGTGACTGATGCGTGTGTATGTGAATTTTCGCCGCACGCAGTCAATCGGATCGGACAGGATTACTTTGGACTCGGTAAAAAATGTTGGGGAGAGGAGGGGGAGCGCCGTGGTCTTTGACAGCCCGAGGGACGGGGGGCGGCTGCTGTTTCGCGGCTGGCTTGTGACGAAAGCCACGCACAATCGGTTGAGCGCGCCCGTTCCTCCTGTACTTGGCGCCCGGCCGGGTTTTGTAGAGCCTGATTTACACGTGGGCCTTGTAGGGACGCCGTGCCCTTCAAGACCACGGTATTATTTATGAACGACCATGAAGCCAACAAGCTTTCGGCAATACAGTACAAGCACTCACCGCTGTAAACAAGTAAACACACCTCTTCGACTGCTGTAGCGCCATCTCAAACGGATGATTGTCGTCCAGTGATGGTACTGTATGTGTAGCTTCCAAGAAGTCAGTCTACGGCGCTGCTGTGAGGCCCATCGGGCTTTGGTTCCCTGGACCCCCCCCCCCCCCCTTCT